TAGTCTATCAAACAGACCTTAAAACCTTCAGGTATCTAGTCTATCAAACAGACCTTAAAACCTTCAGGTATTTAGTCTGTCAAACAGACCTTAAAACCTCCAGGTATCCAGTCTATCAAACATACCTTAAAACCTCCAGGTATCTAGTCTATCAAACAAACCTTAAACACTTCAGGTATTTAGTCTGTCAAACAGACCTTAAAACCTCCAGGTATCCAGTCTATCAAACAGACCTTAAAACCTCCAAGTATCCAGTCTATCAAACATACCTTAAAACCTCCAGGTATGTAGTTTATCAAACAAACCTTAAACACTTCAGGTATTTAGTCTGTCAAACAGACCTTAAAACCTCCAGGTATCCAGTCTATCAAACAGACCTTAAAACCTCCAGGTATCTAGTCCATCAAACAAACCTTAAACACTTCAGGTATTTAGTCTGTCAAACAGACCTTAAAACCTCTAGGTATCTAGTCTATCAAACAGACCTGGAGTAAAGTCTAGGATGGGACAATTGTTAATGAAGAATTAATACGGTCTAAAACTCAACTGAAAGATGCTTAGGCAAAAGATACGAATTTGAAACCAATAACTCAGTGGGTCAAGAATGGTATAGAAAACCTGATGGCAAACAATCACTCCATATAGCCCAAAGACTAATGGTGAAAACAGTTAGATTCGTTTTGCCTACAGGAGGGTTTGTTATGCTGGAAATGAGAAAATTTCAGTAGACAGAATCAACATACATAAGCCCTCCATCGTCTTCACATCCTTTAAGTGGATGGACAGAGGTCCTAAGAAGAGAGTAAGAGAACGCTATTTTGGGATGAGTGTTGGCTATCTGTAGAGAATTGGTATAAATCATGTTGTGAACGAAAAAAGGTACATGAAAGAAACAGCTTGAGCAGTTCTGTACAGCAGTATTGTATTGGAGTACCACTTGAGATCTGCTTGGTCGTCTGCCGCAAAGTAATTGTGGGAATAAATACATCATGCTTGTGATGGAATACTTCCCTAATTGTCGAGAAGCATGTGCTGTTTTTAAGCAGGAAACAGAAACTAGCACAGAATTTCGTCGATAAATTTGTTTCAAGAATCGGAATGTCTATAAATCTCCACCGAGATAAGGAATGGAACGTTGAATCATCCTCAATTTCAGAAATATATCAGATCCATAGAATAAAAACCAACAACATCCATCATTTGATAGTGAAACAACAGTACAGTTGGTCATTTATGTGGATGAACATGAGATAAAGATCGTCTACTACAACTTATGAATTATCAAATTGCAGTAGATGAAACTACAAGCGACACAGCATCAGCTAGTGATTAGCTATTAATAGTGAAATAGCTGGCCTCAAGGTGATGTAGTATGAATGTTCAATCCCTGCTGGAAGAGTGAACAAACTCCAATATCAAGCAGGTATTGAGAAGGGCCATGTGTTGTACTGAAAAACATCAAATGTGGTTTAAGTGAACAAGAAGGAGAGGTAGTCCAAGCCAAAGGTCACTCATCATAATTATCTTTGTAAGTCCGTGATGAGAGAGCCATAAATTGCGTAATTTCAGTTGCCAGTGGAAAGTCAACCCACTGAGAAGCCTATAGTTCCTGTCGATACTACTTCCAGAGGACCAACAAGAAATACTAGTAAATTCTAAGGTCTCTTCTTTCCTATGTATCCTGTTCTGGAGTCTTGCTTTGGATCCTTCCTTCTGATGTGTCACTCTGAACTCGTTGGATAAAGTAGCTACCGATGCTAAATAATTATTATGGCTTCCAGCTGGAAGGTTCTCCTGTTTCATATTTAAAAGTAAATGTGGTTGAAATTCTTGTGTGGGTGCAGAAACGGGTGTGGCTGGCTTGATCGTTATATTTACAAATTCTTTTTGCACTCGCCTCCCCTGGAAAATGTGAAACATGTTTCTTTATTCACTCTATATACATATCCTTGATTTAGACTTTGCCCCCCCCCCCTCGAGAAATTTCTGTAGACGTTTGTGGTCTTGTCTTTGATGGTTTGTATGTATTGAATAATGATTGTTTCATCATGTTATACATCTTATTCAGTTTGTTTCATTCTTCAACTCAGTTCAAGTGAGAGATAATTCAGATTTGCTTTGTTCTGTCGAACCTACTGTTATTCTATGGAACCTACCTTATTATTCTTAGGGGAAATCAGAACACCTGAAAATACCACATAGTTTTAGGCTTACACCGAACATTACTAAAATAATGCTTAACAAAACTGGTTAAAATCAGATTTGAACAGTGTTGTACCTGTAGATAAAGCATCTACTTCAGGGGCCCAACCTTGAGGCTCTCTACGAGTCTATGAGGCTTTTCATACCCCCTCCCAATGTAATATTACACAAAAATCAGGAACAAGGTTTTATTTTATGTTATAAGTAACTAAAATTAATAAGTTTGAACTGTAGCGAGGGGGCAAATATTCTTCCCCAGAGCATTCCTAAGTAGGGCACTACGTTTGAATGCAGATATATACATTTATCACGTTTTTTTTTCATTAGCCTAATGGCACACTCAAATTAATGGTTTGTATAAATAACATACATATATTTTTTCCATTTGTTTTATAACCACAAACCAATGTCCAAGAAGGCCCTGTTCACTGCCAGGACTCATCATTTTTCGATCAAGTTAATTAATCTTGGTAGAAATGCACGACGATCTTGTGATCACTAGAGAAAGTTAGTGGACACAATAACTTTATGTATTACTTTACTTTTATGTCTGGGTTTGTTGAGTTATTGAAGAACAGCGTGGTGCTGCTGAATATTTTCATGAGGGGCGTTCAGTATCTTTCGGCTGGGCAAGAATTAGTCAAGTACATAAAGTTGATGGATAACACTTTTCTCTTCCCGACAATAGAAAATATGGTTAAAGACCGAATATTTTCTGCCAAGACTGGGAAAGCTGTCCAATACATGCAAAAAACAATAGTTTCACCTGTCCCATGGTGCATGTGCTACCTACCCCACGCCACAGTAATTCAACAATAGTTTCTCATGTTGCGTGTACTACCCACGCCACAGTAATTCTACAAGTAAAAATAAGGAGGACATATCCTTCAGGTTTTTATACATACATTTATTCAGATTATTTTAGTGCACCCATTGAGAGAGGTCAACAGTATGTAAAAGATTGACCCATAACGAGTTACTGGAGTACTATAAAAAGTTAGCCATAACCAATTTTTTATTGCTGAGTAATTTCGAAAATTTTAGGTCAACAAGGAAAGTTTGCCCGCCAATATTAAAAGAAAAGAAACATCTGGTTTGTTTCATATACTACAACATTATCTGCTGTACTAAACCTAATATAATTTTTTGTTGTTGTTAGAAAGCTATTATGAAGTGG